GTGTGTGTGTGTGTGTGTGTGTGTGTGTGTGTGTGTGTGTGTGTGTGAGATATCGACCACTGACATACGTGGTACAGTGGGGCCGCTCCTACAGTTGCTCAAGCATAATGTTGTTGGTAGTGGGTGGGGCGCCGGCATTTGCTGAGACAATTCTCCACGTTTGTGTCGTACGTACTCATGCCTTAATCACAATGAATAAATATAGACTTTAACCTCATGTCCGGTTTGCCGACGTGGTTACGGAGCCGGTGCGCTTATCATGTCTGAAACAATGATGTTTGGTCAGGGTTATTCCACACAAAGCCTGGAGCAGCAGATCTGTAGTTAATCACATGAACTACAGTGTCTCAAGTTTGATTCAGCTCACCTGCCCAAGTTTGGTAAACTAGACTAAAAACAATGCCGGCTTTAATCAGAAACTGTGTGGTACTCACTAAGTGTGACGTGGTCTAGATTAATATTGAAATTATTTGTTGTGTTTCCATGCAGTGGAGAAACGGAAGGATAAATGTGCGGTACGCAGTGTGCAGACCTAGAATAACGGGCAGCCCGCCGGGAATATATTCAGAGCGACTGCATCAAAGTGATTAGCTCAGAGTCGGAGATTGTTTACGGTGGCCAGCAGGGACAAACTCTGTTAACAGCTGAAGCCTAAAGACTGAATGCTACAGATGATTGTTACAAAGTTAATGAGCAGTGTAGCAGCTAGCAAGTGACCTTTCTTTGGCTTTTACACAGCCTGATTATTAGTTTTCTACAACCAGAGGCTCATTGTTTACTGTTTGACCACTTTTTTTAATGAGCAGTTCTCTAATTCAATGTTTGTTAATTTCTTAAAGGTATCGTTGGTGAGGCGGATGAAAACGGAGAAGATCATTACCTGTGGACGTATAAGAAACTGGAGATCGGCTTCAACGGCAACCGAATTGTTGACGTTAATCTGACCAGTGAAGGCAAAGTCCGACTTGTGCCAAACACAAGAATTGCAATGTCCTACTCTGTGAGTACTGAATGGTCCACTCGTTGGTGCTTTGTATGCGCTCACGCCTCGTAGTCTCATGGGGTTCTGCTCATGTAAACATGTAAACCTTTCCCAACAACAGGTGAAGTGGAAGAAGTCGGATGTGAAGTTTGAAGACCGATTTGACAAGTACCTTGATCCGTCCTTCTTTCAGCACAGGGTGAGCTGAATATTATGCGTCTGGTGTTCAGAGGTTTGTGCCAGTGGCTTGTTGTAACGGCACAGTTGCGTATGACCTTTCAGAAGGTACGAGTTGAGCCTCGTATTTTGATAAATAAAATGTAATTGACCGGTCTGGTGACTATTTGACTGTACCTGCCATTGGGGCTGAACTCCAGCTGGGCTCTCTTTTAAAAGGAAGTTTGTAATCCACACCAGCTGCCAGAGCCAGAGGATTTCCTGCCCCGACTTGTACAGTCAATCTGAGGACATGGATGTTACAAACTAGTGTTTATGTGATTTAAATATCCTTAGTAATGCATTTAGCAAGTTTTTACTTCAAATGTTTTCACACAACACAATAGTTCATTTGATTTTTGAGGCTTTTAATATTTGAAGTAAATACTTTATGACATGGTTACTAACTAGAATAACTCTGGATTTTATTCATTCTACTTTTAGATTCACTGGTTCTCCATCTTCAACTCCTTCATGATGGTCATTTTCTTGGTGGGTCTGGTGTCCATGATTTTGATGCGAACACTCAGAAAGGATTACGCCAGATACAGCAAAGAGGAGGAAATGGATGACATGGTACGTTTTTTTTATTGACTCAGCAGT